CCTGGCTTCGTGAAGACCCCCTCGGGCCCAGACCCCGAATGCCGTGATTGTTTCGCAACCTGGCCCCCCCGAGGCTTCGACCCCTGCCCAGGGACCACCTTTTCATCCCGAGTCGTTTGTGTTCGACGGCCCCGGGGCCCAACAAGCACCACCAGAAGCCCAAAAGAGCGGGATGTGCCGCAGGCCACCAGGCAGAGGCGGCAATATGTGGCATCTCTGTCTCAATCTCAAGGCGGTTCTCAAGCCGTTCTGGGAGAATCGTCGGCCTGCTTCGTGCGCTCCTCGACTCCCTCCCGGCCTCCCTCGGAACCCGCCTTCATGGCCGGCGGAACGGGCCGCAAGGCCTCTCCAACATGGCCGAGACATATCCGTGGTGTTTTTTTTTCCCTCGACGCGAGGAAGCCTGGGGACCCCGCCACAAAAGACAACGCGGTGACTCTCCGCGACGCCCGACGGCGGAGAACAGTGCAGCGCACGCTGCACCGCGGTGCTCTCCGCGCAGGTCGGCGCACGAGGCCGCGGCCGAGCCCTCGGGGCGACGAAGACGGCGGCGGCGGCGACGCCGACGCCGCCGCCCAGGCCAACAGCGACAGCGCCGACGCCGACGACGGCCGCGGCGGCGGCCAGGACGCCGACCACCACCAGCACGGCGCCGACGACGACGCTGGCGGCCACGACGGCGGCGAGGGCGCGCCGACCGCGATCGCGACCCCGCGACCTCTGGGCCTCGCTGGCGTCGGCACCAGCGCCGTCTTCTTCTGGCCATCGCTCGGACGTCCATTCCCTGTGCTTCTTGTCGGTTTCGTGCGTGGCTTTTTCGCCAGGTGATCAAGGATGCTCCTCGATGGTCCTCGCCGAAGGAAAAATGCACACGTCCGAGCGATGCCAAGTCTTGTTCGTGGTCGGCGTCGCTGCTGCCGCCGCCGCCGCCGCCGCCACCGGCGGCATCGGCGGCGGCGGCGGCGATGATGATGGAAGTTCGCGGGAGGCCTCGGCAGCGGCGCGTCGAAGGGCGGCCCGCGCGAGCCGCACGCGTGCAGCGCGTCCACGATGCCCACCAGGGCGTCGCGCGCCCTGGCACGGCCCACCCCCCACTGCGGGGCAAGGCAACGAGAAGGGGGAGCTGGCATAGGGGGGGAAACATCGACCTGGAATTGCCGACACATCGCCAACAGATCGGCGATAGGCCCCAGATAGTGAACCCGCAACTTCCTGGGCGGGCTGGGGCTATCGGGCCCCTATCGGCGATCGATGGGCGATTGGGGGTCGATGCATCCCCCCCATGTGCCTGTACCCCCCGATCGTTGCCCCTGACACACACACAGTAACGTGCAAGAACGAATCAAAACATCGTCGCCATCGCGCGGACGCCCATTCCCCGTGCATCTGTTTTCGATGTCGTGCATGGTTTTGATGATTCGGTGAACCAGGATCCTCCTCGAGGGCCCTCGCCGAAAAACATGCACACGTCCAAGCGATGCCAAGACATCGGAATGCCTGCGTGCTGAAACGAATCTAATCAAAATCAGAGATGGTATCGGTTGTTCTACTTGGCAACACGAGCCCAACAAGGGAGGGCGACCACGACAACCGAGCACGCCAGCGCCGACGACGATGACGACAACAATGACGACGACGATGACCACGACGATGACGACGATGACGACGATGACGATCACGACGACGACGACGACCACGACGACGACGACGACGACGACAACGACGACGACGACGACGACGACGACGACGACGACGACGACGACGACTACAATGACGCCGACGCCGACGACGACGGCGACGACGACTGCGACAAAGACGGCGACGGGTGCGAAGAGCACGCCGACGACGTCGCCGCCGACGACGACGACGGCAACGGCGGCGACGGCAACGGCCGACGCCGAAGCCGGCGATGGCGAACTCGTCGTCGCTTTGGGAGGCTCTTGAGGGGCGTCCAGCTGGAGATGCTCTCGTCACTGCTGCCATAAGAACGGTCCAGAATAGCGGCCAGGGTGGACCCCCAGGCGGGGCTCCGGGCACCCGTTTTGCGAGGATCTCGGTCGGTCGGTGACGACGACGACGACCACAACGAAGACGGCGACGACGACGACTACAACAACGACGGCGACGGCGGCGACAACGCGGACGCCGACGGGGACGGCGACAATGACGACGCCGACGCCGAAACCGGCGATGGCCATGCCGTGTTTTTTTTCTGCAAGCTTTTGGGGGCGTCCAGCTGGAGGTGTGCTCGTGGCCGCGGCCGGAAGAGCGGCCCGGAACACCGCTCAAAGAGCGGACGCTCCCACGGGGGAAGTCCGGGGGCTGGGGTTAGGTGGACATTTGCCGGTCGGCTCCGAGGGCTTATCTAAAAGGGATCCTGGTCGGCGGCGGCGGCGGCGGCGGCGACGACGACGACGACGACGATGACGACGACGACGACGACGACGGCAGCGATGACGACGACGGCGACGACGACGACGACGACGACGACGACGGCGGCGACGTCGGCAGCGACGACGGCGGCGACGACGGCGGCGACGACGGCGGCGACGACGGCGGCGTCGCCGACTACGGCGGCAGCGTCAGACCGCGGATCGCGCCCAGCCCACGCGCCCCCGAAGAGGCCGTGGAGGCCGCCGGGGAGGCGGGGGCTCTCCCTCGGCACCACTCGCGAGGAAAGGAGAGGGGAGGCTCCCTCCTGCTGCGGCCACAACCTCGACGTCAGCGCCGACGTCGACGTTGACCTCCTCCCCCTCCACCTCCTCGTCCTCCTCCTTCTCCTTTTCCTCCTCCTCCTCCTCATTCTCCTCCTCCTCCTCCTCCTCGTCCTCCTCCTCCTCCTCCTCCTCCTCCTCCTCCTCCTCCTCCTCCTCCTCAGCGTCATCATCATCCTTACCACCAGCACCATCACCGCTACCACCATCCGTCTCGCTCCGTCGTCATCAGCATGAGCAGCATCATCATGACCGCCGCCACCACACTAATAAACATCATCATTAGCATCAGCATCACCATCACATCATCGTGACCATTATCAACATCATCATCGTCGTCATCATCAGCAACAGCATCATCGGCATTATCAGCATCAGCAGCATCATCTTCATTATCGCCGTCATGATCATCAACCTACTCAAGATCAACATCAACGACACGAACACCATAAGCAGTACAATCATAATCGTCGATATCATCATCACCACCACGAGAATCATCAACATCGTCATCGTCGTAATCATCGGTAGCATCGTCATCATCGTCGTCATCATTAGCATCATCAGCGTCAACATCAACATCATCATTATCATCATCATCATCCTCATCATCATAACCATCGCCATCATCAACAGCATCAGCACCAACATCATCATCATCATCATCATCATCATCATCATCATCATACTCAGCATCATCATCAGCAGCACCAGCATCAACATCGACAGCATCATCAGATGTAGCATAAGCATCATACTCATCCGCAACACCACCATGATCATCACCATCAGCACCATCAGCATCTTGACCATCTGGATCAACCAGCCTTAGCGTTATCATCTGCATCATCCTCAACAATAGCATCAACACCATCGTCGTCATCAGCATCATAATCATCAGCATCCGCATCATCAGCATCATCATAAGCATCATGTTCATCATGCTCATCATCGGCATCGTTATCATCTCCATCAACATCACCATCATCGTCATACCTGTCATACTCATCATCCACGTCATCAGCATCATCGGACTCGTCATGATCACCATCAGCAGCAGCAGCAGTAGCACCATCAGCATCACAATCATCATCGTCGGCAGCATCATCATCGTCATCGTTCTCCACCTCTCCTCGTGTCACTCCTCCCATCCCCTTCCCTTACGCGCGGGTGGAAGGGGTAGCGAGGAAGCACGAGAAGAGAACGAGGGGAACGGAAGGAGATAAAGGAGGACGAGGCGGAGAAAGAGGAGAACCAAGACAGTGCAACCCTACGAAGGATTCACTGGCATACACATCGCGCCTAGCCTCAGCACGCCACGACGAGGAGGAAAGGGGGAGAACGAGGAGAAGGACGACGAGAAAGTCAATGACATGGAGACAGGAACAGGACAAAGAGGCGGAAGAGGAGGAAGAGGAGGAAAAGGAGGAGGAGGAGGAGGCGGAGTGCAGGAGTGCAGGCTTCGCAACGCCGTCCGACGGGGACGAACAGCGCGCGGGGTACCCTCAACTGAGGGCGGTAAGGAGACGTCCAGGATGAACGCTAGCGAGCCCGGCAGGTCAAGCACCCACTAGCGTAGTCGAGGCAGCAGCGCCAGCGCGGATACCGCACTGCGCTGCGCCCCGATGCCAGGCGCTTCCGATCAGCCGGTCGGCGCTCTCCATGACAACGTTGCCCCCGTCTTGGGCCTGCAGCTTCTTGAGCTGAGAGCGCAAGTTGGACAGTTAGGTGCGCTCGTCACGGCCCGCGGCGCATGCAGGACGCGGGAGGTGCCGGCGCCAGACCAGGCCACGCGCACCTCGCAGAGTACTGTCGGCCCCGCGCGACGAAGCCGATTGCCGTTGACCTCCTCGCAAACGTCGCCCCTGCAGGTTCTTGAGCCGCGAGCGCAAGTTGGACAGGCAGGTGCGTTCGTCACGGCCCTCGGCGCACGCAGGACGCGGGAGGTGCCGGCGACAGACCCGGCCACGCGCACCTGGCAGAGTACCGTCGGCCCCGCGCGACGAAGCCGATTGCCACTGACCTCCACGCAAACGTCGCCCGAGGCCCATCCCCATCCTGTAACGACGGGCTGCTCGAGGTTGCCAGGGTCCTCCGGGCGCGGCGCCGCGTCGAGAGCCTGCATGGCGAACTGGCCAGCCGACGAGCCGAAGGCAGCCTCCGCGCCCTCGTGCGGGATGGTGGCCTCCGCCTTCGGCTGCGAGAGTTCGGAGTCCTCGCACGCAGGCCACAGGAACTGCACCCAAAGGGGCCCCGCCAACTTCGCCGTCTCCCTGCGGCAGCGGCGGCAGACAGCGTGGCCGGACCGCAGGCGCTCCGGCTGCTGGCGCACAGACGCCACCGAGGGAACCTTGGCGGGCCCCTTGACCGGGCTGAAACGATCGGAGGGCTCCCACTTCTGGACCGTCAGCCTGCGCTGCATCGCCCGGCCGATGTAGGCCGCCACCTCCTCGTGGTTCTCGACCTCCACCTCGTAGAAGCCCTGGCACACCTGCGACGCACCGTGCTCCATCGCACCCTGCTTGGCGACTCAGTGCGCCCCCATAGTTATACAGCCGACATGCATGGCCGGGTGGATCCCACGCTGCAGGTAGTCGTCCAGCTCCTTGTTCGGGAGCGGCCAAGAGGGGGGTGTCCAAGAGGGGGGGGTGCAAATCATGACCGGCGGCATGTGCGCGGCCCAGCGGGGGGGCCTGGGACGTAATGAAATAAGAAGAGGCGCCCTGAGATCTGGGGAAAAATCATGGCCCGCGCCATGAAATCCACCCCCCCCTAGGCCCTAGTCATCACCCACCTCTTTTCCGCCCCCGACTTGTGCGCGGGCACCCGCACGACGCCGGGACGGCGCGGCTGCGCGCGGAGCAGTCGCCAGGCGGTGGCGAGGGCGGCGGGGGGCCCGCCCCAACGAGGCGCCCCGGCTGCGCGCCCGCTCCTCGAGCGCAAAAGCAGCTCCGTCGCAGCGCAGTCGACCGCACCTGCCGAGGACCCGCAACGCCTGCAGCGGCGCGCACCGCTCGGCCCTGCCATCCGTGTGCAATGGGCCTGGGATTCTGTCGGGCCTGTCCCCCTACAAGGGGGATCTTCGACGAAAAATGAAAAAAATACCCCCAAAAAGAATCAAACCAGAGTCCACAAATAGTCCGGGGACTATTTTTGGAGCATGTTTTGACCTTCTTGGGGCATTTGTGGGGTAGTTTTCGTCGAGAATCCCCCTGTAGGGGCGAACAGGCCCGACCTAAGCCTGGGAGGGCACTGAAGGCGGCGCGGACCGGCAGCCACTCCAGCGACAGCTCGACTGCCGCCCCGCCGCAGCGGCGCAGCTCGGGGAAGCTTGCGGCGAGGCCCGGCCCGTCCGCGAAGACCAGATGGCCGCGCTGCCTCCTAGCAAGTGCGTCCGACCAGCCGCCCCAGTAGCGGACGTGCGCGTCCTCGCTCGCCATGCAGCGGGGCCCGCGGCGGCGGGCATGGGAGGCACACGAGCTCGAAGGCGTCTCAGCACGGCACTCCGCCAGCGTCCTGCAGGCCCGTGTCCCTCATGAAGGACCAGATTGAAGGGGCCCCAGGACACACAAATAAATACACACAAATAAGAATATTCCCCATATTTTCTCATATGTTCTGGGTTTCTGTCTTCCCCCCCACTTCCCATTTTTCCCATATTTCTGGGGAATCGAAGATTAATTGTGTCTGTGTGTTTTTTCCTCTCCTGACAGATGTCCTGGAGGCGGTCGGGCAGGAGCTCGCCGCTCTCCTCGCCCAGCTGGCCAGGTTCCAGGAGCACGTCACAGCCGAAGAGACGGTGGCCAGGCGTGCCGGAGGCGTGACCACGGGCACAGCAGGATGGCGAGGCGGCCAGCTTGACGTCAAACTTCGCCTGCCTCGTCCGGGGGAAGCCCGACCAGTGGATACGCAGGCTGGTGGCGGCAGCACCCTCCAGCACAGCAGCACGAGGTCCGCCCACACGTAGGCGCATCACGTGAATCCAGACCTGGGCCACGTCCCCGGGGGGGTGCTGGAAGTGCTGGAGGCTCTGGCGGCCCTGCCACCGCTCGATGCCCATGACCAGGTGGCTCCGAAGGCCGGCAAGGCTCATCATCAGCAAGTTGATGTACCGATCCTCGCCGGTGATGACGACCGTGGACGAGCACATGCACCACCCGATGCGCCACAAGGTCAGCACCGCCGCGGCTACGGGGCCTCGGGCCTCAGTCCCAGAGACCTCCCAGAGGTCTCCTCTGGAGCGGAGGTCTCTGAGAGGCCTCCCCTGGTCCTCGGGGAGGTCTCTCAGGAGGCCTCCTCTCCAGAGCAGGGGGCCCCTGGGGGGCCTTCCCTGGTCCTCCCCGAGACCTCCCAGGAGACCTCCCGAAGGCCCAGCTGACCTCGTCGACAAGCCTGGCAGCGGCAGCGGCCCAGGCGTGGTGCAGCCGGCGGAGCGGCGCCCGCTGCTCCCAGGCCCAGTGGGCATACCTCGCGAGCAGGTCGCGCGCGGCCGAGCAGGTGGGGTCGTGCTCTCTGGCGCGCTGCGCGGCTGGGCAGACCGTCACGCCCGAGGGCCCAGGCCTGGAGCCAGCCAGGACCCCCGCCTCGCGTTGTATAGCTGGCCCAGGGTGGAGTCCGCGGCGCCTGACGCCCCTGCGCCGTGGGCCACGCTGGGGACAGGGCCCGTCTTCCACAGGCACGCCGCTCTCCTGCCGACTGCCCTCTGGAACGGCAGCGGGCGCCCTCGACGTGCCACCAGCGCCCGCAGGCGAGCCGCTGTCTGACGCCGAGCCCTGCGCCGCCCGCAGAGGCCGTGGCCCAAGTCCGCGACCCGATGATTGGCCGAGAGGCCTCGCTCCCCACCTTGGCGCCTGCAGCCCTTCGCGACCACCGCCGAGGACGTGGCTTAGCCCGATCCCTCGCGCTGGATGGCGATGCCGAGCTCCTTGGCACCCTCTCGGAACCAGGCGACCGCCGAGACCACAACCGGGCGATCTGGCCGACCTCGGTGCCGATCCACTGCAAACTGACGCCGTCCACCGGGGCTCTCGGCACCACTCCGAGCCCTCGCGCCCGCTGCAGCAGCCTGCAGACCGGGAGCAACACCATGGCGCAGGCGTGCGCGCAGCCAACGAGGACGCCCTGGGACGCGGCGACCTCGTAAGATACCGAGCCGAAGACCCGCAGCCGCCTGGGCTGGCGATACAGCTCCAGCAAGAGCCAGACGAGCCCCAGCGGCATGCCCATCATGCGGGCCTTCGTGAGCAGCGCGATGGGCCTGATCGTCTCGAAGAACGTCCAGGCGTCCGTCAGCACCGCGAGCGCCGTCTCGCCCAAGCTCTCGGCGACCTCGGTTTCGAGGTTGAGGTCGAACGCCGGACCGGACGACGTGCGCCCTGCGCCAATGCCGCGAATGTCGGCGCTGGGGTGATCGCGAAGCCACTGCTTGGAGACGGAGTCCCTGGCCTTGGCCCACCAGCGCACCAGGCTGTGCATCAGGGTGATGAGCCTGCAGCCGCCCCGATGCTTTCGGTATCCTGACCATCTCGTGCCAGATCCGCCCATCAGGCCAAGCCCCCAAGCGCTCGCAGCACATGAAGAGGGCCGCCACCACGAACACACCGACGTCGGGCAAGTGAATCAACGCCCGCATGGCGAGCTTGGTGGGGCCGAAGGCCGTGGAGGTGGGGGAGCTGCACGCCGTCGTCCCTCATCGCCTCCACCGTCAGCTCGGGCAGGGCTGGCCAGTCCGCGAAGTCAGACGGCCTCGGGAGGCGATCGAGCTGGTGGCGTTTCCAGACCTCCTCCCGGCCCTTCATTTGGCGGCGCGCACAAGGGGGTGGAGGGAGGGGGGAGGGCTTTTGAGAAGGAGGCTGCTTCTTAAAGGCGCCGGCCTTACATCTATAGAGAAGGCCCGCGCCTGCTAAGAGGCAGGGGTGCTTCTCTAAGAAGCCCTCCCCCCTCCCCCCACCCCCCTCTGCGCGTGGCTGATTCATCTCCCCGTCGCAGGCTCGATGGGGCTTCCACGACCTCGACCAGGTCGACCTGTAGAGGGGGGAGGAGGAGCAGGAGGAGGCGGGGGAGGAGGAGGAGGAGGGAGGAGGAGGAGGAGGAGGAGGAGGAGGAGGAGGAGGAGGAGAGGGGAGGGAGGAGGAGGAGGAGGAGGGGGGAGGAGAGGAGGAGGAGGAGGAGGAGGAGGAGGAGGAGGAGGAGGAGGAGGAGGAGGAGGAGGAGGAGGAGGAGGAGGAGGGAGGAGGAGGAGGAGGAGGAGGAGGAGGAGAGGGGCCGGCGACGGTGCCCCGGCCTCGCCCCCCGCGGCCGGCGCCCCGCGAGAGGCCCGCCGGGCTGGACGCCGGGCCGCGCCGGGCCCCGCCGAGCGCTGCGGCAGAGGCGCAGGGACCCGGCGGGCGGGCCCCGCCCCCCTCTCTTGCCGCGCCGCCTGGTTCGCGACTCGAGCCAACTCCGCCGCGCCGCGCCGGGCCCCGTCGCAGGCTGCGGCGGGCTCCCTCGGGACGCGGCGGGCCGCGGCGGGCCGCGGCGGGGCGGCGGAGGCGCTGGCCCGGGCTGGAGGTGGGGCCGGCCCGGTCGGGCCAGGAAGAGGGCCCGGCCCGGGGGCCGACGCGGCCACCCTCGTCCTGCCAGCAGTTGAGCACCACCTGCAAGTCGCGGGCCTCGGTGGCACGGTAGGCGCGCCCAGCGCCACTGCAGAAGCTGTCCGCGGCCCAGCGCTCCCGCTGCTTCTGCTTGCACGCCACGGCCTTGTCGTACTCGCAACTGGCGTACTCCACGATGTCGCCCGCCCCCTTGACGAAGTCGTCGCCGAGGAAGACCCTCATGCCTTTCACGAAGGAGTCATGCACCCACTGCGGCAGCCTGTGCATGACCCCTTTGGTGGCGACAATCATGTCGCAATAGGCGCGGGCCTCTAGCAGGAACTGCGCACATCATCTGCGACAAATGAAATCAGAGGGGAGGGGGAGGGGGAGGGGGAGGGGGAGGGGGAGGGAGGAGGAGGAGGAGGAGGAGGAGGAGGAGGAGGAGGAGGAGGAGGAGGAGGAGGAGGAGGAGGAGGAGGAGGGGAGGAGGAGGAGGAGGAGGAGGAGGAGGAGGAGGAGGAGGAGGAGGAGAGGGAGGAAAGTGGAGGGAGGAGGAAGGACGAGAGAGACAACGACGGCGTAGGAGGGGGAGGTCGACGAGAAAAGCGAGGAGGGAGGAGAGCACGGAATGGAAGGATGGGACGAGAAGGGGAGGGGACGTGGAGGGGAGACGAGGAGAAGAAGGATGAGGAGGAGAGGGGGAGGAGGAGGAGGAGGAGGAGGAGGGGGAGGAGGAGGAGGAGAGGAGGAGGAGGAGGAGGAGGAGGAGGAGGAGGAGGAGGAAAAGGAGAAGGAGGAGGAGGAGGAGGAGGAGGAGGAGGAGGAGGGGAGGAATCGGAAGGAGAGGGAGAGAGAGAGAGAGAGAGAGAGAAGAGGAGGAGGAGGAGGAGGAGGAGGAGGAGGAGGAGGAGGGGAGGAGGAGGAGGAGCAGGAGCAGGAGCCGGAGCAGCAGCAGCAGCAGCAGCAGCAGCAGGAGCAGGAGGAGGAGGAGGCCCCCCGCCCGCCGCGCCCCTCCATTCGCGCCTCGCCTCGACCAGCAACCGCTTCTGCGGCTGGGCGCCTGTGCGGTCGAGGCGGAGGGGGGGGGGGACGAGGAGGCTCAGGAGAGGGGAGGCTTAGGGGGGAGGCGGGAGCAGTGAGCTGAGGGGGGAGGCCGAGGGAGGAGGCCGAAGGAGGAGGCCGAGAGGGGGAGGCTGAGGGGGAGGAAGGGGAGAGGAGGGAGGAGGGAGGGCGGCAGGAAGCGGGAAAAGGGAGGGGGAGGAGGGGAGGAGGAAGGAACGGCTGTAACAGAAGGCTTTGGGGGTATGTTTTTCCCCATCAGAGCTTGCCTCTGTAGGGGTCCTAGCGGATTCATATGGTCAGGTTAGCTACATCGCCGATGTCGGCGGCACGCCCGGGTGCCCTGGTGCCCAGGTGCCCGCCGATTTCGCGAAATCGGCGGCGGTCGGCCCGCCCGGGTGCCCGGGGGCCCCGGTGCCCTATAGCCCTATAGCCCTATAGCCCCATAGCCCTGTAGCCCTACAGCCCTAAGCCCTACAGCCTATAGCCCTATAGCCCTATAGCCCCATAGCCGTGTAGCCCTATAGTCCTATAGCCCTATAGCCCTATAGCCCTATAGCCCCATAGCCCTGTAGCCCTACAGCCCTAAGCCCTACAGCCCTATAGCCCCATAGCCCCATAGCCCCATAGCCCTATAGCCCTATAGCCCTATAGCCCTATAGCGTTATAACCCCATAACCCTATAGCCCTATAGCCCAAAAGCCCTATAGCCTTATAACCCTGTAGTCCTATAGGCCAATAGCGATAGCCCTGTAGCCCTATAGCCCTGTAGCCCAATAGCCCTATTGCCATACAACCCTATAGCCCTGTTGCCCTATGGCCCTGTGGCCCTAATAGCCTCATAGCTCTGTAGCCCCATAGCCCTATAGCCTACGACACTATAGCCCTATAGCCCCACAGCTCTATAACTCTATAGCCCTGTCGCCCTATAGCCCTACAACCCCATACCCCTAGAGCCCTAGACCTATAGCCCTATAGCCATATAGCGCCCCATAGCCCCATAGCCACACGACCCCATAACACCATAGCCCCATAGCCCTATAGCCCTATAGCCCTACAGCCCTATAGCCCTATAGCCCTATAGCCCTGTAGCGCTGTAGACTATAGCCCTATAGCCCTATAACCCCATAGCCCAATAGCCTTATAGCCCTATAGCTCTATGGCCCTAGAGCCCCATAGATTTACAGCCCCGATAGGCCTAGTAGACCTGATAGACCTCATTGACCTTCGAAAAGTCTTACGTTGGTGTCCTCAGCTCCGTCGCCGTCGTCGTCCAAGAGGCGCGCAACATCAGAGCATGCCCTGGTAAAAAGCAATCAAGACTCTGACTGAGCTTTTCTCTGGTACCATTACGATCCTGAGCACCCCGCACATCCCCCACCCGCGCCCCCCACGCGCGGCGGAGGAACGTCGCCGCACACGCCGCCGCAAGGGGCTCGGCTGCATGTAAGAGTGACCCTGGGCAAGAGTGACCTTTGGTGCGCGGCTTCTTGGGGGGCGCGAGGAGGCCAACACACAGGCGCGCAAGCTACCATCGCACCGAGCGCGGCGATCGGGGGGAGCCCGATGAGCCCGCACCAAAGGTCACTCCGGCGAAGGGGTCACTCTTACGTGTAGTCGAGTGGCGCGAGCCCCCACCGCTCCGGCCGCCCACTCTCACCAAGACTCTGACTGGGATTTTCTCTCGTACCATCACGATCCTGAGCACCCCGCGCATCCCACCCGCGCCCCCACGCGCGCGGCGGAGAAAAACGTCGCCGCACACGCCGCCGCGAGGGGGGCGCGGGCTCCCCGCCGCTCCGGCGCCGCCCGCTCTCACCAGACCCTCCGCGGCGACCGCGCGCCCGCGCCTAGCCTCCCTCTCGCCGCGGTCTCCTCCGCCCGGCGCCGCGCGGCGCCTCCCGGGCCGCCGGCCTCGCCGGCGGCCTCCGCGGCCCCTCCTCGGCGCCCGCGGGGCCGTCGCCGGCGCTGGCCGCGGGGGAGCCGCCGGCGCCCCGGTCCTTGCCGCCGCCGCCGCCCTGCCCCGCGAGCAGCCTCTGGAGCTTGTTGACCAGCCCCGCCCGCTTCTGCTTCTTTCTGCTCCGCTTCTCCTCCTCCTCCTCGCCCTCGCCGGGCTCCCCCTCCTCGGCCGTGCCGGCCGTCAGCTCCTTGGCCCACGCGACCGTGGCGTCGAGCCACTCCAGGAAGCGCGGCCAGGCCTCCTCGGCGTACCTGCTGGCTCCCACCTCTCGCAGCTTTCCAAACTCCTCGCCCATGAACTTGACCTCTTCCTTGGCCCATTCCCAGGCCAGGGCGGCATACTCCTTCGCACTGAGCGCCCACTGCTCCACCTGCTCCCGCGGCGGCAATTTGTCCATGACCTGCTCTCTGGATGGCAGCTTCTCCCAGACCTCCTTCGGATCGACCTGGCGGAAGGCGCTGGTAATGCTCATAAACAATAGCGACACCATGATCGCCTGCAGGCTTTGGAAATCCGCCGACCCTGTCGGCGTGTGAAATGGGTCGTTCGTCGTGGCTGGTGTCCTCGTACGTACTCGTCGTCTTCTTTTCTGGTCCGTCGCCGCTCCCCCCCTCTTTCCCTGGGCCCTCGTCCTCAAGCGCGCCAGCCAAAGCGACATGAAGCAACCCAGCCAAAGCGAAATTAACAACGTTGTCATTGAGTCGAAGGGAAGCCCCTTCCCTTTGATCCCCTCCCCGCTGGGGGGGGGGGTCCCGGGGGTGGGGTCCTGGGAGAGGGGGTCTGGGGGGGGGGGTCCCAGGGGGTGTTCCCAGGTCAGAATGCCATCCCCCGTTTGCAGCTTGTACAGAGGAGCCCTCCATAGATGCGCTGGAGGAAAGGGGGGGTCGCCACGACGGATCCGCAAGAGCGCACCTAGAGGGCCCAAGCCCCACAAGACAGTCAAAGAACGCCTAAGGACGGCCAAAGTGGGCCCCCAGACGGGTCAAAAGGGCCCACAAGGACTCTCAAAAAGGCCTGGAGAAACCATATTCATTGATTTTCGGAAAGGTTCCGTCCCCGCCCTCTCCCTACCATTTCCGTTCGAGGGCCGAGGCCTTCAAAATTGGTTGCTCCCACTCGCTTCCTCTCGCTGCTCCTTCTCCTCCTCCTCCTCCTCCTCCTCCTCCTCCTTCTCCTCCTTCTCCTCCTCCTCTTCCTCCTCCTCCTCCTCCTCCTCCTCCTCCTCCTCCTCCTCCTCCTCCTCCTCCTCCTCCTCCTCCCTCCTCTCCTCCTCTCCTCATCTCTCATCCATCATCATCATCATCATCATCATCATCATCATCATCATCATCATCATCATCAGCATCATCATCATATCATCATCATCATCATCATCATCATCAGCCATCATCATCATCATCATCATCATCATCATCATCATCATCATCATCATCATCATCATCATCATCATCATCATCATCATCATCATCATCATCATCATCATCATCATCATCATCATCATCCTCTTCGTCATCCGCCTTCTCCTCCTCCTCCTCCTCCTCCTCCTCTGCACTCGCCTCCTCCTCCTCCTCTTCCTCCTCCTCCTTCTCCTCCGCCTCCTACCCCCCCCCCGCTCGTTTTCGTTTTCGTCGTCTGCAGGGTCGGCGGCGCCGGCCGTCGGGCCTTCGCGATAGTCAAAACTGAACAGCCACCAGCTGGCGTACGCCAAGAGCCCGTTCCACGCTCGGACGCCCCAGCGGTGCTTGAGCTCGGCGCTCGGGTCGCCAAGAACGACCCACTGGAGCTTCTTGCTCCAGACGCGCAAGGCCTTCTTCGTTCTTCTCCTCTCCATGCTCGCGGCGTCCTCGCCGGGGAAGTGGATGACCTCTCGCCAGCGCGGCTCCTTGCGCAGGAAGCGCCTCACCTCCAGGGGGATCTTCTGGGTGAACTTGACCACCTCCTCTTTGATCAGCAGCAGCTGGTGGCGGATGAGGCCCTGCCACACGGGCTCCAACTTCGCCATGTCCACGCCCCCGTAGACCCCGTCCGCGGCCTGCAGTGCTCGCTGGGTCAGCTCTCTCGCCCTCTTGTTCTGCACGAAGGTCGTCAAGTCTAATGGCGTCGGTCGGCAGAACTGCTGCGAAGGAGTGACGCACAGCGGCTGGGTCTTCGCGTTCACGTTTGCGCCCAGCTCGATCAGCGCCTGCACGGACCTGTGCTTGCCAGAGAAGGCGGCGAAGTGGAGCATGGTGAAGCCGCAGACGCCACCGTTCAGGAGCTCCGAGAAGATCTCGTCCTCCAGCTGCTGGGCGTAGGCCGCGACGGACTTCCCGTCGTCGTTGAGGGCCGCGTCCACCATCAGGCACCAGAAGGTGCGCGACGAGGGCACGGACAGGAACGAGTCGCGGGAGCCGTCTTCGCCCACGTCCCCGCCCTCTGCGAAGGCGCGGAGGATGAAGTCGCTGTTCTGGTCGTACGCCTGTCTGCGCTCGGGGTCGATCAGGACCTCGTAGGCCTCGGCCAGCTCCTGGAACCGCTCCGTCGCATTCGGATCGTCGCGGTTCTTGTCCGGGTGAAGCTTGAGCGCGAGCTTCCGGTACGAGTTCTTGATGTCGTCGGAGTTCGCGTTGGGCGGCACGCCGAGGATCTGATAGTACGTGCCGCCGCTGACCCGCTCGGTCTCCTTGGACTCGTCGCCCTCCTTGCTCGCCAT